TTGATCTTCAAAAACCTCCAATGAAAACCGAACTAGTAACCTTGCAAAAGCTTGAAAACTAGCTCCCCCCGATTCCCCAGAGAAAAAAACCCCCTTTCAAAACTATATCCCCCCTAACCTTATCCTCTGAATTTCTTCAATCTTCCGTCTTAGATCCGGAATTGGCTCCCACCTCAAGCTTGGATCCGAAATTGGCTCTCGCCGTCAAGCTTGGATCCAAAATTGGCTCTCGCCGTCAGAGCTTTCTCCTCCGTTTTTACCTTTAAGAAATCCATTTACCGAAAACAACGTTCCCTGAAATGGCACAGAGAACAGGACAGCCTGAAACAGAATCGAACCCCGTAATCGGGACCACATTGAGTCGCCCGACCAATTCAGGTCCCATATTGGGAAAGATGCCTGTAGTAACCTGGATGTTCCCGTAATTGGGTCAAATTGGTCCTCGCGTCAGATTGGCTAAGACCCATAGTAAGACCTGGATTTCTCGTAATTAGATTGCATTGGGTTGACCGGCCAATTCAGGTCTCATATTGGATAAGAGGACCCGGATTGGATTCTCGAAATTGGATCCAATTGGCTCTTCGAACCCGTCGTGTGAATTGGTCCTTCTCTTCCTGCTGACTCCCGTTATTGAAATCGAATGGAGCATTTCAGTATGCCCCGGCTGACTGTAACGGAGTGATTGAACCTGACCACTCAGTATTTGTATTGGAGTTGGTCGATGCTCCCAATATTCGAGGTAACTGAATATTAATAAAATTCCTCTTTCTTTTTATTTTCACTGTATACTCGTGTTACAACACGACAACGTCATGACTTTCTAGTAGCAGGACATTTTGGATATAACAAGACTTTGGAGTTTATATCTAGAGATTTTTGGTGGCTACGAATATGAAAAGATGTGAAAGACTTTGTTCAGTCATGCAACATTTATTCAAAATCAAAAACTCCCTATGATGAACCTTACGGACTTCTTCAACCATTAACCATTCCAGAACAACTATGGTCTTCTGTTTCTATAGATTTCATCATGGATCTTTCAATCTCAAGTTCTTATGACTCTATATTTGTAATAGTAGATCGTTTTATCAATGTGGCACATTTTGTACTATGTACAAAATCTATCATAGTTGAAGAAATAGCTAAACTCTTTCTTTATAATATTAATTGCTATCATAGTTTATTCGAGGATATTATATTGGATAGGGGAACTTAATTTATATCAAGATTTTGGTGGACTCTCTTCAAGATTCTAAAAGTGGATATAAAACTATTTTCAAAATTCCATCCTCAAACTGATGGACAAATAGAGCATGTTAATCAAGTTTTGGAGCAGTATTTAAGATGTACCATCAACTATTAAGAAGATGATTAGACAACTCTTTTGCCATTAGTAGAGTTTGCTTATAATAACACATTATATTCTTCTATAAAATAAACACCTTTCTTTGCTAGTTATGGTTATCATCTACGATTTGATAGTTTTGACTTTTTCAATCCTGCAAATGTAACAAAGAAGGTAGATGTTTTTTATCAACAACATCCATCAAAATTAAGATGAAGACCTTCTCTACAAAAGAAACAAGATCTAGGTAAGATAACATTCTACTTTCAATCCTTGTTTGTACCTTCTTTGTATTTGTGATGTTAAAGAAATGAAGAACTAATAACTAGCGGATTTGATTGAAGAGCCTTTGTTTGCTGATCTGTCGGATGAGACATTACATTTGTCACAAACTTCAAGATGATGTAATCGAAATGAAGATCCTCAAGAACGACATGTTTTTCTTTGAATAGATTGCAAGATACAATGCATTTGGTATCATGGCCTTGGAAGAGACTCTCAATGTTTGGTAATTTTATTAGAGGTAGAAATAATTCTTGACAGTGTTCCAAATGTTTTATTTGAAGGAAGTTATAAAGGCCTCAACAATGACCAAATAATATGATAGTCTTCTCGCCTTGGTATGGGATACTATCGATGGTTGAGAGGCCTTATCAACCATCTTCAAAGAAAACAAAGATTTGAGTATGTGGCAAATACAATTTGTTGCATTATAGATTTTTTCAACATATGATGACCACTCCTTGTGGAACGCATTCCTAGAAGAGGGGATAATGTCATCGACATACACATGTAAGCTAGTAATTATCTATATAAATAGGTAGAAGTAGATAGAAGTAGGTAAAAATAAGTTAATTCTATAATATCTTCTAAAGAAGCTTCTTAAAAGCTTAATAGACACTGCTTTGACTTTATACGTATCTATTGTTGAATTTTAGGTTAGAAACTTGGTCAACAAGTTAATCATGTGCCACACATTTTGGTAGCTTGAAGAACAAGCTAACTATGTGGCATATATATAGAAAAATTTGCCTTATAAGTCAAGGCATGTATCCTACAAAGTCAACATATATTAGATGTCTTATAGAACATCACCACGTAGCCCCTAATTAGATAATATATATAGAGACAAGAGTGAAGCATTCTTCACTCTTGTCAACTCCTTTCTTGCTTGTAGTCCAGTTTCAAGAGTCTCAAGTTTTCTTGTCTTTTGGCAATAAGCCATTCCAATTTCTTTTTAATATACGTACTTCTTTATTTCTATATTGTCACTTTTTTTTTGACATGGATTTCATTGATTTATGCATCATCTTCCAGTTCATGTCTTTGACAGATAGTTGATAAAGATTTCTTTATATTGCTTATTTTTCCAGTAATAGATAATTGTCTAAATTCGGCTAGATGAAAGACTATTCTATGAGTGTAATAGATTAGATTATAGTGTAAGAAGAAGTATTTGAAAATACCATCTTTAGGGTCAAATTTGCTGAGTTGATATATTACTTGAAATTATAACTAATTTACTTGGACTATTCAGATTAAAAGTAGCTTGTTTGCATGCATTTTTTGATGAGGATTTATACATTAGCTTAAGTTGCAAAGTCACATGCTTTATTGAGGTATTGGATAGTTGTTGAATTTGATTTTGTAATTGACTTTTTAGAATTTATGTTTAATCGAGTTGCTACTTTGTTTGGTTTGGTTTGATTTAGTTTTTCTTTTTTCTTTTTTCTTTGATTGGATATGTAATACTTTGTTGTAATCTAATTTTTACATTATGTATAATATGAAAAAGTCTTATTTATTACAAATGACTATTTTTTTTTTATGATGAAGCATATTATTATGATTGAATTAAAGTGGCGATTGCTTGTTTATATGCTTGAAAATATATATTATATTGAACCATTTCAAAAAATGATATAACCTACATACATTAAATGAAGTGAAGTTGATGTTGATGAATGAATGTATTTTTTGTGTGAATATTAAGTAATATATTAGAGATTGTAGAATGAAGTAATTAGATGTAGAAAATAATATTAGTTAAAATAAATAATGATATTTATGTATGTAGATTTTTAATTTAAGATGTAAAAATTAAATAAATATTCGTTAAGTTAAAGAAGTAGTTTTAACAATAATTTAATAGTAATAATATAATCTTATTAAAAATTATATGTATTGAATTATATGGTAGATGTGTCTATTATTGACATTGAAGTCTTGATTTGTTTAGAATGTTTTGTCAAAGAAGATATGAATTTGTTGATGTGGCATTAATATTAGGTGTGATATCAAATTATAATATTTTTTGTATTTAGATTTAGAAACTTTTGAAGAGTATTATTTTTGCTTGTTAAGATTTGATTTAGATAGTGTACTGTATAATTGATTAAATGATTTTTCCTAGTTAGATCTTCTTTATTTCATATTCTTTGATTTAGATTGTGTTGGTGTTTGTCATTATTTTTTGTATTATATGCACTTCTAGTACCTCCATTGCAAAGCATAGATTTCTAATAGTGAGCAAGATATCTTCACAATTTGAATATCATATGGTTTTTAATTGCTCAAATTAATGTTAGAGGATTATTGATGGAGAATCAAACCTTTATTTGGAATGAAGAATTTATGAAGTTCTAAGTGTAAGGTTAAAGTGATTTGGTTGTTTTAATATATTGATGTATAATACACTTTTTTAATTAATGTGAATAGATGAGATAATATGTCCAAAGATATTATTTATCTTTATATATTTTTTGAATTTTTTTGTAAATAAATAGAACTACTAAATTGTAAAATATTTGTATACTATTTAAGTACAAATTAATTTATTCCGTATAGGTGTTGTAATATAATAATGATGGTAGCCTATTAAGTATCCATTAAACCATCATCTTTTTATTATGGATTTGGATGTATTAAAGCATTACTTTAATATACCATTGTTCATTTTGTATTATATATATATATATATATATATATATATATATATAAATATAAAGACTCCTAAATATCAATTAAGACTATAAAATAATTCAATAATTCTAACTTAGTCAACATTGTGAAGTAGTAAAATGTAACAATAGTAAAATAGTAAAATGTAACAACATACATATCATTTGACAAAGGTTGTTGTAAACATGCTACCTTAACAATAGAGTGCACAACAATCTTCATCTAAATACTACAAACGCAATCTTGAAACTAGTCTGGATTCAATGCTTGTTGATTTATCTATTTAATTATCTGATGCTGCAACTTTCTGAGCAAGTGCCAAAACCATAATCAGTTGTAGTCCCAATTTATGACACTACAATAGTTATCATATGATTTTAGGCAAAATGCATTGATCCTTTACATAATGCAATTTAAAATATATATATATATATATATATATAGATTAGAGCTTAAATCCTTAATATTAGACTAATATTACTAAATTAATAAATAAATTTCTAATGTTAGATTTCAATGTAAATCTTATTTTATTAATAAAATTTAAAATAAATAATTAATATATACAATTTTAAATAGTAATATATATAGACAGAGAATCTAGAATCTTCAGGCAGGTAGATTCGAGGACAGTTTTCATAGATCGGGTGGGATGGGGCGGGACCCGACCTGGGGGAATCTGTTGGACCCCTTGGAGGGCACTTTCAGTCGCGTGGGGGAGTGAGTGAGGCTGCGCTGCCTCGGCCTCTCTGCCTCCGATCATCTTCGCCTTCTCGCGCCGCGTTGGAGCTTCTCTGCCTCCATTTTCCTGCAATTCAATTCGGTTTTCTGTACAATTTGGTGTCTACATTCCTCGCACTCCAATGCTGTGTGGGAAATTTCTGCACCCACCTCGATCGTCGCGCTCATTCGTCTGCATTTCTCGCTCCATTGTCGGCCTCGGTGATCACTCTTGTTGAATGTGAGAGCTGCGGAGTTCGACAAGAGGATCGAGGTTAAGCAGTGGAGAGGGAGCAGGACAGAGAGATTGTGAAGCTTTTAAGCGCTGGACACGGTGCTAATGAGATGCCGCCGTGGATAGTCGGTTGAATTTTGATTGATTTTGAGGATATCGTTGTGGAAGTGACCGCGTGAGGAGCTGTTGCGGTTGAGGTTTCGAGGGATGGCGGCGACTGGGGGGAGGAGAGGGGTGAGAGCGATGGGGGAGATGTTGTTGAGGTCGCAACAGAGGAGGACCGTGACGTACATGCCGCGCCCAGGAGACGGGAGGCCTAGGGCTGTGACGTTGTTGCCAGGGGATGGAATTGGGCCCTTGGTGACGGGAGTTGCTGTGCAGGTGATGAAGGCGATGCACGCGCCGGTGTATTTTGAGGAGTATGAGGTGTCGGGGAAGATGGACAAGGTGCCAAATGAGGTGATGGACAGCATTCGCAGAAACAAGGTGTGTTTGAAAGGAGGCCTGGCTACGCCTGTTGGGGGAGGCGTTAGCTCTCTGAATGTGCAGTTAAGGAAGGAGCTCGACTTGTTCGCGTCACTTGTTCATTGTTTCAACCTACCGGGCCTCAAGACCCGCCACGACAATGTCAACATCGTGGTAATTCGGGAGAACACAGAGGGGGAGTACTCTGGTCTTGAACACGAGGTCGTCCCTGGGGTCGTGGAGAGCCTGAAAGTACCTATCTCATTCACCTGCTTTTGAATTGATATGAGTTATTTATTTATTTATTTATTTATTTATTTGTAAACATGGACAATGATGCATCTGTGAATCGAGTCTCTTCTTTGCTCATGTTATGCTTCCATAATTTCGTCTGATATTGATTTCATGATATTCTACATCCAGTAAAGTTTAGGTCATTCGGATGTGGAATCGATGCAACGGGAATTTGTCTGGATTGGTGGTATTGGGATCCAGGGTACATCATAAGAAGCACGCTGATAAGCAACCTGCATTCGTTCATAAGCTTTAGAGTAATCCCGGTTTCCGAAATGTTTATGTCTAAAATTGACTAACCTAGCCTAGGTCATTATCTTGGAGGTTTTTTTAGTAGTCATTCTCTTGTCCTCGGAATATAATTTTCGTAGTTTTCGACTTTTCGGGGCTCCACTGGAAAACTCCGCGATTAGGTGTTGGACGAGGATCGCACAACTGTCACTGTAGTCTCATATGTCAATACTTGGCAGTGACTGCTTAGTGTCTCTGTTTTTGATTTTTTGTGATTTTTTATTTCGTTTTTTGGTCGCAAGAGGGCTTGTCAGTGTCATGTGTATGATCGTATCTGCAGGTTTCCTACTTGCCATCTATGAGATTGATGAGATTCCTAATGGTGCCAAAATTGTCAGGTGATTACAAAATTCTGCTCCGAGCGCATAGCAAAATATGCTTTTGAATATGCATATCTTAACAACCGCAAGACGGTTACAGCAGTGCACAAGGCGAACATCATGAAGCTTGCAGATGGTCTTTTCTTGGAGTCTTGTCGTGAGGTGGCCAAAAAGTATCCCGCCATCAAGTATAACGAGGTCATTGTGGATAATTGCTGTATGCAGCTTGTGTCGAAGCCTCAACAATTTGATGTCATGGTAAGTTCTCGTATGTCAGGCTCAATTTTCTCCGACTTTTAGTTATTGGCAGTGTTTATGCTAATGACTTGATGTTACTGTGACATCAGCTGGAACTCTGATTCAAGTTGTTTGCCTTGGTGCTATTGTGTGTATTTTTCCCCCAGGTAACACCAAATTTGTATGGAACACTGGTGGCCAATACTGCAGCTGGTATTGCAGGCGGAACTGGAGTCATGCCTGGAGGTACCCTACTCCATTTCATTATAATATCTCATAACTTTTGCTTCAAAATAATCAAAGACTGTAGTGACTTAGTACATATTTCTTTTTCACTTGGAGCACCTCCAAACACCCACATGTCGCTAAACTTGCCGCGTAGAAACGCCGCAGTGTCCTCACGTGCCGGATTTTATCTTTATGTGAGTTTCTATCCCTGCGAAGGATTCCAGGTCCTCCAATTTAGTCACTCTGCACAGAGAGCATGGAGAGAGTGCGTAGAGTGTGAGGCCACGTTTGCAGCTTAGTTTTTCATGTTTTGAGCGGATGAGTGCTTGTGTTTGCCTGCAGGCAACGTGGGTGCCGAACACGCAATTTTCGAGCAGGGAGCTTCTGCTGGTAACGTCGGCAACGAAAGACTTGTAGCCGGTCGCAGTGCCAACCCCACTGCACTGCTCTTGTCATCCGCCATGATGTTGCGGCATCTACAGTTCCCATCTTTCGCAGACAGGTTGGAGCAAGCTGTGATGAGCGTGATAGCGGAGGGAACATTCCGCACGAGGGACCTCGGAGGCACCAGCTCTACCCAAGATGTAGTTGATGCTGTCATTAGCAAGCTGAACTAATTGCTTCCTTTCTTCCTCACTCTTATCCTCAGGAGCCACCCAGCTGATGGTTATTCGAAGCAGCTTCAGATCATGGGGAGTTTTTTTTTTTTTTTTTTTTTTTTGGTTTCCACTTACAAGTACGTGATTCAATCTTAAACAACTGTCTCACCAACTATTGTTAAATCTTTGATGAATGGTGGAACTTCCTCTACTTAGCTGAGCATGGGTCAGAAAAAAAGCCACGCAGTAGGTTCAGGATATTACTGGATAATGAGAAACAGTGGAATTGGCTATAGCGGCAAGTCATATCTATTAGTAAAGCCATGTGAAAAGTGGGAGCATTGGGCTCCATGGCACAGCCCACGCCAAGGTTGCTGCTGTCTATCAATTTCGACGTTGTAGACATGCTAGACTTAGTTTTGCTTCTTTCGTATTACTTCTGTCAGTTTCCTGGTGGTTTTCATACTATTTCACACAACACAGAGTCTGCTGGAGGATTACCATTGAAAAAGATGTATTGTCTTTGTGTTTGAGTGATTTTGGGGTCTGGTCTGAACTCGGAGGATCAATCAATTGTGGCTTTAATCTTACTGTGATTCTCAAGGAACCCAATAAACTTGAAGCTCTTGCAGATGTTTTTTGGAGTCAAATTTCAACTTGTTTGTTGTTAACTGTGTGAGTGTTGAGTCATGTGCAACAAAATGGCTTGTGAATGTAGGACCTGTAATGGAATCCTTGTGAAGTTTTAAAAGTATTCTACAAATTTATGTTCAATTATGTGTTCAATGATTTCTATTGTATTTTACTTTAAAAATGAAACCTTTTGGGAAGATCTTATCGTATCGTCTTGGTAACTGGTAAAATTAAAAGCGAATTTGAATTTGTCTTCGTTAATGACAATGTTCTCTTGTGTAATTATGTTTTGCAATTATGTTCATTTGATGATATTTTTGTGATGTACTACGGCAGAATCAAATCTCTTCCCATGTATGTATATTTTTTCTGTTATAAATTCATTGATCGTTTGCAAACACAACTTTGACAAACACTGAATATATCAAATTTTGTTTTTTACCATTTGATGAAAATGTGCATGTAAAACATTTTAAATCAATCTTTAAGAAAAATAAATAATAAATAAAAATACTGTGGTAAACAATAATGTGGTGCCACATTGCACGTTATTCAATCTCTGGTAATTAACCTACAACACTTTTTAACATGGGATTGCATGTTGTAACATCAAGCTCCATGGAACCCAATTTGTGTGATATTCTGTAAATATTGTGAATATTATTCAACAATAATGAGAATACCTTCACAATCAAGTAGAAAAACAATTAACTAACTCTTGTCACGCAAGAACCAATTGAATTAAACACCAAAGTTCATAGCAAGTGGAGATTTATTCTTGTTTACGTTCCAAATCTCACATCCAAATGAATTCAAATAAATAAACTAGTGAAAAATAAGAAAGAAAGAAAAAAAAATCTTAATCCATTAGTGAATAAATAAATTCACATTGAAATAATTGAGTCTAATTTCAACTCTACCTTCTTCTATCTTTCTAACGTCTTCTCTTTTTCTTTCCGTCTTCTGATTCCTTCTGCTTTCGTAAAGTCTTCTTTTAAATTATAACTTTTATTTTCTTTTTACGGGCAGTCAGGGCAGGATATCCGACAAAGAGAAAAAAGTGGAGGGGGCAGCAAAATCAAAGGGGAGGGTGTGTGGGTGGAGCACAGCCACCCTTTTGCCTGCCCCCGTTTCATTCGTTCATCCTATTACTTTTTTATTCATCCAAATGTTCCGCCACCCTATTTGACTGGTGGTTTAGGTTCCTGCACATTCATAGGGAACTCAAGTTCCCCGCTCGCTCTCTGCCATTGGGAACAGATGCCTCCCCTTTGGCCTCTTCATTTTGTTGGCACAATATCCTCTACAGCTTCATCTCGATTAACATACGATTTTATTTTATTATTATATTTTTAAAAAATCATGATTTTCAATTGGATTTGGAAAAATAAATAAATACAGGGCTGATTTTGAGGTCATTTTGAGCATCATTTCACATTTTATTTATTGTTATGTCTTACTTGTAGATGACCAAGCAAATGATTTCCTATTGTATTTTGAATGTTTCAACCATTGTAATTGGTTGAAAGTGGGGGGATTTCATTTGTGACTCTTCTTTGCCCAGATGAAATCTTGTGACCCATTATTTCGATTACAAACGGTTAAAAAGGCAAATTAATGCATCGTATGTGGCAAGAATAACTGAAGAAGGGTCTCCTCCCTTTGACTAGTGGAGACTTCTTTTAGAATCGTATTAGAATCGTAACCAAAGTTGCGCTTGACACAAGAAGTTTTTGATGAAAATCTATTGTAAAGATATTGTTCCATCTTATTCTAGTACATCGTGGACGAGGAATAGTTTAACCACATGGTGAAAAACTCTAGGTGTCGCTTACTGTACAAAACAAGGCCTAGTGCAATTTCGTCACCAACTCACTAAATGTGTTTCGAATGGAAAAAATATGAAAAAATAAAAAATAGAAATAAAACATAAGCCGAGTGGATTACATATTCAACTTTAATAAAAAAAAATTGTGCGTGAAAATATGAAGCCGTAAAACAGTTTTGAAATTCGACCGCAACCAATGGTGTGTACACTAATCACGAGGCCACCAGTTGCCGTCGATGCAGGCGGATCCGACGGTGAAAGGAAACTGCTGCGCGAGCTTCATCGTTGAATAGCAGCCTTCGCGATATCGGACGGCGGATCTGACAGAACCTCCAATGGAAGTCTCTAGGCCCTCTGGGAACGCGGAAGTAGGTGCCCCTGATCGGACGGCCACAGGGCTATTCCCTTCGTAGCCGTTGGATCTGAAACATTGAACGGCGTCGACGCGCAATGCGTCGCACCTCGATGCTCAAAGGCAGGGGCTCAGAGGAGAGTAAAGGAGTTCGTGTGCTGGTCGTGTGTCTAAGTTTGCCATAGCTTCCGGAGTGCTGTCTGATACTCTTCGCGTGTCGTCGGAGCTTGTGAATCAGGTATGTTCCTTACCACGCGTGCTATTACATTAAATCATCTCTTTGTCAGCGTTTCCTGTGGTCAAGTCTCGAGTGGTTTCTTGACGGTATTTGGTCAGTAATAGATGCTCTGGGAAATAAGTTGCGTGAATGCGCGCATTGGCGTGTCTGCGTTTAATCGTTTGTAGTACCAGGATATGGTAAGTGATATGGACATGAAGCGGTGATTCTCTAGATAGCGGCGTTACTCTTAACTGTCTCGTCGACTGCCTCCCTGTTTGACCTGTCGCGGTGCCCCGTTGGCCAGATCTTTGTGAGGTTTATGATATTAGTGATTCGGGTCAGGGTGTAAGTTAGAGTCCTGTAAGTCAATATGCAGTGCATTACGGGACCAGCGTCCTGTACTGATAAGAGGGCGTTGGATGTGAGGTGCTAGGTCGATGTTTTTGTTAGGTGAAGCGGTGGTATCCTCATCCAGGTCTTCAGTGCATTTATATTTGTGTGCTTGCCATCTCCCTTCTTTTAGCTATTTTGAGTTCGGACTTCAGACACCGGATTGTGTTACTATTCTATGCTCTCTAGTAATTCCTATTTGTAGTGCGTCGATACCTTCTCGTCTCCTACGTGTCTGAAGGTTAAATTACGGGAGTTCTTGTAGCTGGAACCTGAACCCCTGAGTGTTGTATGTGGAATATTGGAAGGTTTCGATCTCGCCATCGCTCTTATTACGTAGTTTCAAGGAATACCTTGAAAGAGGAAGCTCAAATATGTGACGCGCAGTTTTTTTTTTTTTTTTTTTTTTTTTTTTTTAATAGCGAAGGCATTCCTTATCTCATGTGGAGTGGTGATATTATGTTGAGTAGAATGCTTGGTTTGGTTCTTCTGATCTTCTGTTGACCGGTCCGTTTACTCGGGATGTGCGTATTTGCGTTTGCTTCTATCGCAGTTCTGTAAGTTTAGGATAAAAGCCAAGAATCACTTCTGGGAAGGCCTTCTTGAACATCATCGCAGTACTTGTGGCGAAATGCTACGACGATTAGTGCTATGTTTACTTGCTTCTCTGAGGAGAAGTAGACTAAGTGTGTTTCTCTTCTGTTCGTTTTCGAATCTTTATGCACCATGTTTTAGTTTACAACATTTCATTCAATAGTGCATCTGGATGATGATGGAGCTTTACATCTCATCTCAGGCATGGGTGTTGTGATATGTCAATTAGTTAGTGATCGAGTTCCTGGTGCGAATGAAGTTGTCGAAGCTGTAGGGCTCCCTTTGCCGATAGGTAAAGGTAATAATCTATGTAGCATTGCACACAGTCAAAACTTTACCAAATTTGAACGTGTCGAACATGTTTGTTTCTTATGCATTTTCAGAATGGCGAAGTCTTACCCAAACGTCAGTGAGAAGTACGCTGCGCTCATTGAGAAAGCCCGCAGGAAGATACGGGGGATGGTAGCAGGTAAGAGGTTACGTCAGTTAAGGTAGGCGCGGCAAGCTCTAAGATAATGAGATAGTCATTAGATAATGCGCGTGTAATTGTATTGAGGGTCAGTCGAGGTTGTCGACATGGGTATGGTTCAATTCTGGAATGTTGTGCAGTCGACAGCATAGGTGGTTGAATAAGTAAAAGGTGTGAGCATATTTTTGTGAGTGCTGGCGCGCGTTGATGCTGCACGCATTAGACACTTTTTCTACGATCTGCGTCATAATATTGATAGTAGCTGTGGGGTTACGGACCTGTGGGGTGCCATCGGTAGTTTACTACGGATGGGAGATCGTTCTAACCAAGGGTATCAATGTTGTTGATTTGCAGAGAAGAACTGCGCACCGATCATCCTTCGTCTCGCGTAAGTTTTGCGACAAATGCTTTATTTTCTTACACTGTTTTTAAAAAATGTGATCGCGCACTGTAATCTGGAGTAAATTCGCATGGTTTTACATCATTTCGTTTCTGGCGAAAATGTGTTGTTTGGACAGGATGATGAGAATTGAGTTTAGAATGGAGTTCGGAAGGGGCTCACACGGAGTGCGAGGTAGAGTTGGTAGTTCATTTTTGTTCAGTGAGTGAGCTGTTGCTCTGACTTCTTGCAGATGGCACGGGTCGGGAACTTACGATCAGGAGTCGAAGACAGGAGGTCCTCTTGGAACCATCCGGTTCGGGCAGGAGCTTGCGCACGGCGCCAACGCGGGGCTGGACATTGCAGTGAATCTGCTGCAGCCCATCAAGGAGCAGTTTCCGGAGTTGTCGTACGCTGACTTTTACACGGTAATGAATAAGAAGCGGGTTTGACGATGGGTGGGGCGAAGTAGGCTAGGTGGTTGCAGCAGCGTTATTGGGGGGGGGGGTTGCAGGCACTGCAATGAGTGAGGAGGTGGGGAGCTCCAGGAATAGGTGTTGGGATTGGAGTGGGAAGAAGGTTGGATTCTAAGGTTTGATGTCATGCGGTTGCAGCTGGCTGGAGTCGTTGCCGTGGAGGTGACAGGCGGGCCCACCATTCCTTTTCACCCTGGGCGCAAGGTAAGAGCCTGGCTGGGCATTCGGGGAGAAGTGCGAGTTTTGGTGGTTGCTCCCGAATGCGGGATTCGTGAAGCTGTGATGTTGTGAGAAGCAGGGGAAGTGGCGATTGGGGAGTGAGTCTTGAAGGGTTCTGACGTAGACGTGTGGGATGCGGGTGGAAGTGAGAAGGTGGGGACAGCGTGGGATGGTTGAGAGCGAAGCGGGACTTAATACTGATGTCCGAGTGTGGTGAATGTGGTGTGTGTGTGCAGGATCATGAGACATGCCCCGTGGAGGGTCGGCTTCCCGACGCCACGAAGGGTACGTAATCGGGTGGTGTAAGGTGCATTTTGGAGGATGTGAGGGCGATGTTGTTGGGTGTGAGGAGGGATGACGAGTTTCCGGATGCGGGTTGTGTTGATGAGAGGAGTTTAGATGTGGTTGTCGTGTGCGGCTTCCAGGTGAAGTAGGCATGTGAAGGGGTAGGGGGAGGATATTGGTGGAAGTGACGTGTTGGTGGGCGTGTGGGTGGGCAGGTTTGGATCACCTCCGATGCGTGTTCACGAAGCAGATGGGGTTGACGGATAAAGACATTGTGGTGCTGTCGGGTGCACACACTCTGGTAGGACATGGTGGGAATCGGGAGTGCCGAGATGGTGGTGGTGTTGTGGAATGGTGCAAGGTTTGGGGAAAGGGGCGGTGGGTGAATTGGGTGGTGTGAGGAGGGTGAGTGGGTGCAGTGACTGAGCGGTGGATGTTGGTGGTGTGCGGTGTTGCAGGGGAGGTGCCACAAGGACCGGTCCGGATTTGAGGGAGCATGGACGCCGAACCCCCTTAGATTCGACAACTCGTACTTCCAGTGAGTGATGTGTGAATTGATGCAGGCCGGTGGGTGGGTTATGAAGGCGATGCGAGTGGGTGAGATGGAGTTATCGTTGAGGATGTGGGCTAATGATTGTGATGGACATGGTCGTGGGTAGGGTGCTGTTGGAGGGAGAGAAGGATGGACTGATCATGCTGCCATCCGACAAGGCTCTGCTGGATGAGCCGAAGACTCGTGAGTTGGTTGAGTTGTACGCGAAGGTATGTGCCGTGTTTTGTTTGGTGGTGACGTGGTTGTGTCGGAAAAAATCAGAATAGCATAGGGCCCATCGCCTTAAGGTAGTCTGTGTTAAGTGTAGAACGGATTGAGAGGGTGGTGTCCGGGTGCCATTGGTGAAGGTTGGTGGCGGTGATGATGTATTGAGTGGTGCTTGTGGGGTGTGACAGGACGAGGACAAGTTTTTCGAAGACTACGCCGAGTCTCACATGAAGTTGTCAGAGCTAGGGTGAGTTCGCTGGTGTTGACAAGCCTCGCGTGCTTCTTTCTTACTTGAATATGTTTCTGGGTTCTTTCTTGTTTTTGGTCTGCAATTGACTTTCTGCTGTGTATTAATTTGATGTGGCTTGGTTCTAGATTTGCCGAGGCGTGAAAGCCTGATCCTATTCTACGTGTGAAGAGTCCCTTCACGAGGACCGTCTTTCGAGAGGCGATAAATGTTGTGGAAAGGAACGAACGGACCCTGCCGATCTTATTTTTCATTTTTCTGAGGGATGCGGATGGTTTAGAATAGCGTATAATATCTTAGTATATCGCTTTTGTTATTGATTACCTTCCTGGACTAGTTCTCTGTCTGATGCATTTTTAGATCCAGGTACTGCCTGGGTATGATCTTGGTTATAAATTTAAACCTCAACTCCAGCTCATCTTAGAATAATCCTCATTTCCAACTTTTGTGGATTTTCCCCTGTTATATCTGGTGTTTTTGGATTGTGCATCTAGTTTTTCGATGTATATCTATTACGTGTGAGGAAGGATATGGCTTGGTACATTTTTGGGTGAACTCTGTCATCTGGAAATTTCCGATGCGCACCACTTGGCATTGACCGATCAGAATCTTCTGAATTGTAAGTTGAAATTTGCTCGCGGAACAACTTGTTTTAGTTCCATTTCAATCCGCAATGGTATTTTTTTGCACCGGAACTTTCAAATGCCTTTTATACTGATTTGTAGAAATGTCGTGTAAAACTGTATAATATCGATTTTGAGCATACTGCAACACTAGTATCTTTTTAGACATTCTTTGTAGGAAGATATGAACGAAGGTACACACTCATGTTTGCACCTGTGAAACTCGACTTTTAAAACTATTTTGTCGTCTATGACATAGCAGCATTTTTATACATCAAATGAAGCAGCTACGTTGAAGGTATTAGTCGAATACTGTGTGCTTGTGCAGTTCAAAGGATTGTTTTACTTAGATTGTGATAAAATGAATCGAAGTAGTGCATCCATATTTCAAGCAGATCTACCCTGCTAACAATATAATATCCATTACCACTATTATATTAATTCCATAAAGAAATAATTTCACAATTTGCTGAACAGAACGCACTCTCGCTCACTGACTGTTGGGCAATGTATATATATACATATACATACATATTCTTGGTGTACATCTCTTGCACTAATCAAATAAACTAAAAAGCGCTATTTTATATAATGAAGGCCAGAGGATGTATTTGTTTGTCTTTATTCATCCATCCAAAGAAATTTACATTCATGTGGAAATAATTGATTGAACCTGTCTCCAGTGGTGTACCTTTGTGTGTTTATGCATTCATTAAACCAGTTGCAAAAATTGCAAAAATATAACATATTACCATCAACTCCATAATGCACTACTTAAGAATGTCGAATAGTCTATTAGAAATCAAACTCTCAGTCCCATGCACCAAGTGTGTATAAAACATTATTGTTTCATTTTGTTGCTTTCCATAAAGCTCAATTTTGCTTGTGACTCATCTATGGTGTTCATGTGAAGCTTTTGTTTTTTCCACAAATTATTTTAATTATATTTCATTTGAAATTTTGTTAATATTGGACTAACATTATGGTGATTTTATATTTATATTTGTGTTTAGATTACAAAATAAAATATTTATATATTTATAGAAAGTAATAAGTTTTCTATTAAATATTAATTCCTAGTTTATATAAAATAACATTACGAAATTAAAATTCTATATGAACTTGCTTATTGTTTTTAATACATGGTTATATTATTCTATATATTAAAAGCAAAGAAACAAATCACAGAACTACTCTTGTATCATCAAAGATCAGATATATAAATATTTTAAAGCTATTTTACTCTTTGAAGAAATAAAAAAAAAAAATATGACTTATTTTAAAAACACGCAATCATCTCTGAGGTTATTTAGTAGTATCAATGTTTTGTTCAAATTAATATCATTAACTTTTACGAACTATGGCAAACATATCAGTGATTACTATAAAAAAAAAGAAAAAAAGAAAGAGATTTGATTGTATTCATCTTGACAGTATTAGAAATAGAAAACATAGTTTCATCAATAAAATGTTGATTAAAATTTAATTATTTCTTTAATTATTATTTTGGAATGAGATACTTCATCCTCACTCCAGTTTTTGATGTGTGGTAACTTTTGTTGTTTCTTCTTCACGTTCGATATAAGTTTAATATGAGGTACTAAATGTTAATTCTGTAATTTTTAAAGTGTGGGATGCATTAAGAGTTAGCCCAATTGAGTTTAGAGGAAAGAATAAATGTTTTAACATGAAATGCTAACATAAGTTAGTTTAAGGAGTTGTGTGAGAAGATATATTGTAAATATCAACGTAAGTTGGAATTGTTTTATATTATTTAGATATCGGAACATAAATTCTTCGAAATTTACGGCTACTATTCTGGAGGATTTGAAATAGAGGAAATAAAATTTTTAGACTCAAAGATGTTGCAAGATTTTGCGCAGAACTGTTCAAAAGTTTAATGGTGAAATGTAAACAACATTGTTTACGAAGCTCGAGTTGCAGTTTAACAATGTGCGCGGCACATTTCAAACATTTCTTCCCTGTACATTTTTAGCAGATTCTATCATGAAGGTCACACGATTTAAAACAAAAAAAAATGGCAGCCCCAACTGTCGGAATTTTCTTATAACAATAAAAATGTAGGAAAAGAAAGATCCTATGATTCAACATTATCGTGTGAATTATGAAGCTGCCTGTGTGAAGCTTGTGTGGGGTAGACTACACATTTGTACCGACACTGCACTTCGGTCAAAAGGTTCTTGAAGACTAAATGTGGAGGTTTCTCGTATTCTGAGGATGATGACTCGGAGCAAAACAAAACGATCCAAATTCACCAAGTCATCGCACTATCCTGATCTCGTTCATTCCGAGATTGGAAAAGAAAAGCCGGGTCTGATCGAAAAACATCTAGGTTGCCGATCAGCATACAACAGCAGGCTGATGAATCTACGGAAGAGTACAGTTTTCTACAAGAGAAAGAAGCAGGAAAAGAATGCTTTACACGATCAGATGCGATTGGATGCTTGATGCGAGCTCCCACATGGTCGATCCTGCAGGAGCTACCGGAATATAACACCATCAAGATCCATGTATGCACAAAAATCGAGACGCTGCTGCAGCAGTCGGCGTCGACAGGCTGCACACAAGTCTAGGATCGCGGCGGCTTGAGATCAGTCCCCCGGCTGCCCAGAGCTTGCATCGAGACACTGATAATCTGGTCTAGAAGCTGGCATGTCGACGTTGGGAGGGCACAGCGACTGCGGCGGCGGCACCAAGCAGTTGTATAGCAAGCATACTGATACGCTCGGCGGCAGGGACGCGCTCGCCAGCGCACCAAAGTTGGTTAGATAGTTGTGCTGGAGATACAGCGACTGCAGCGTCGCTTCCTGCATCTTGCTTGCGAAGTCCTGAGTGCATCGCCGGTTGAGCAACATGAGATTTTCGATGCTTGGAAGCACAACCTGAGTGAAACTCTTAGTAGAGGAGGTTGAGAGGAATGACTCACCTGAGGTACGGTTCCGATGAACATGTTGTTGTTGAGGAACAGGTTCGTCGTTCCTGCGAGATATGGCGAGATGTTCCCTTTCAGCTTGTTGTGGCTCAAGTCCACCACGGAGATCCTCACCTCCGCCGGCACGTCCACCGCCCCCCGGAACTGGTTATGGTTCAGCAACAAGAAGGAAAGAGGGAACTCGAACACCGCGCTGGGAATGCCTCCCGAGAATCTGTTGTAGCTCAGATCTAGATAAGCGAGATTGGTTAAAACTTTCACGGCATCGATCCCTCCCGAGAGCTGGTTCCGGGTTGTGGAGAGGTACTGGAGGGAGCTTGGAAGGAATGGAAGCCCCCCTGCGAGATAATTGTTGCTTACGTCGAGGTGAATCAAAGAGGTTTGTGATAGTCCCGGGATTGGACCGTACAAACGGTTTTCAGAGAGGACAAGGACTTTTAGTGAAGACAGGTTGCTGATCCCGGGCGGGATTCGTCCCTCAAGCTGGTTCTTTCGTATCTGAAGAGTCTCCAGGTTGCGGAGGTTTGCGAAAGAGGATGGAAGCGGGCCGGAGAGATAGTTGGGGCCCAGGGAGAAGGTGCGGAGGCTCTGAAGGTTCCCGATATTGTCCGGGACGGCGCCGCGAAGAGCACCTGAGGAGATGGTTAGTGTTTGGAGGTAGATGAGGTTGCCGAGGGAGTGAGGGAGAAATCCCGTGAGACCTGGTGTGCCGGCGGAGAGCGGACCGAGAGAGAGAGATGATATGCGATTGAAGCTGCCCACCTTGATGCACTGTAGCCCGGCGAAGGATTGGCAGGGGTTTATCCGGAGTGCGAACACCCACGAAGAGAAGAAGCTTCCGCCCGGTAAATCGCTCATGGAGGCTTTGATGGAGCGCAGGGCTAGCATGTCGATCGGGTACAGAAGCTGAGCGTGCGCATGAGGGAGGAGATATGTGATTACCATGGTGAGGGCCACCGCCACAGTAAATGAGCAAGACCTTCGATATTCTCCATATCCCGGTGTGGTCATTGTTCACTGATTCGGTGTAATCGGAGGAGTTGGAAATACCTTTGCACTCAAGCCCGATTTCGCTAGCTTCACTCTAACGAGCTTGATTCCTCTAAAACAGAGTCAAAGGCAGCGCTGCGCACATGAAAACAATCTGGAGGTGGATCAGTACATCGACCGCCCGGTCAAGACCAATGCTCGACTTCAATGGAAAAGTTTCAGGCAAACACTTCGCAATTTGTGAAGCAAGTAAGGTGGTCATCAATTTCGCAGAAATCGATTCTACTTTGCGGTACTGGTCGTAGAATCAGGCGTTGGCGATGTCGCAAGTGACTTTATTAAGAAACAAGTGCTTGGGGTCTAATACGACACCATTAGCACTAGACTTATCGAAGCTGAAGGATACAGAGTATGATTGATCGCTTGCACTGCCATCATTGCAAGACCCAATTACAGGGGTGGGCATGTGAGGGTATAAAAATGCGTATTAGCAGCTTCAGGCAACCAGCTTCTTCTGGGACTTGTACCCAAGCTGCAGAACTTGTAACCTTCCCAACAACAGCTGAAGGTACCATAACTCTGATTCCACTGGCATGGAAAAAAAGGAAAGAGAAGGGTGTGAAGGCAATTTGTATTCAATTTGGGGAAGAACTCAACCAACTGTAATCTCTTCATTCAACAGGAGTAGTTTAAGTTCTAACCTATGAACATTCATCAACTAAAACAATGTGGGGCCTGGAGCTTCAAGATCACGGCCAGATACTCATTGCTTCATGAAGCACTTGATTGTTTTACCATTGCAATGTACAAATGAAGTGATTATTTTTGTTACTTTCCAGAAGGTAAATAACTTGAGACGAGCCTCAGTCCATGAGCTGAAGGTTTACGAACTTACCAGCAGTACTAGAGGTGTTTGTCGTTTTGACGTTGAGTTGGGTTAACTAGCATTCGCCAGTCTACTTCAACTTCAACTTCAGGTAACTAAAGAACCCTTTGGAGGTGAGAAGAATGGCGACGAGGCTGTGAAAATCAGCTCAGTGTGTGTCAACAGGAAGTAAGGAAGTCTCCTTATCAACGTCGTCACTACCACCAATCAGCGATTCGATCAAAACATACAGCCAGCTCCGCGTCTTCTCCTGACTTTCGATCGAATTTCAAGAATGGATAACCGAAGAGGATTATTACTGCGTCACGACAGAAGCAGCTAAAACCCTTCTGCTCACTCGAGACCAGCCAAAATTACCAAACTCAACCAAACATCAATATCGTTTCGCTGCTCACTGCTTCCGACCATGCACACTTCGAGCCTTCTAGTTCAATCTACTTAGTAAGTTTCCAATTCGGCAAAATCAACTCCACAATATTGTTATAGACGAAAGAGAGAAAGCGAGCAAGGGTGTCGTCACTGCAGCTATCAAAACATCGTCGTCACAAGGCACAATTGTCTCTCTCGCAGAAGAAATCGACAATGTATATCAACTTCACCAACACGAAAAAGAATCAATACTTAGCCCTCACACCCACCACTTTCAGCGACCCAATCAATAACAATTTATGGAGTCGTACTCACTGCACTGTGTCCATGAAACCAAACGCCTTGCATCGAGCACAGAGAAGAAGAATAAAAAATGCAGCAATACCCATCCGACGTCAGGTTTAATCCCGGAAAAAGTTCTACAACTGAGTGTGTCAAAGGCTTGAACCCTCGATTCTTTAACCCAAAATTGTAAACAAGAGATACGAAGTGATCTGTGTCAAACACGTACACACACACACACACACCGCACCACCACCCCGAGAGCGTGCAGCGTGAGCTATTGCAGAGAGGGGCAAACAGACACACAGACAGATTATGGCTAGAAACTACAGCTTGCGCCGTGACCAGTATGGTGGAGGAAGGCCCGAGAGAGACAAGGGACCGTTTGAGAGTGAGCGTTGGACGCTGAGGAGACAGCTCGGAGGGGACAGCTCGGAGGAGACGGCAGCAGCAGCGGCAGCAGCAAAAGAGGCGGCGAGGAAAGTATCCGCAAGACAATGCTCGAAGTGGGAATGCAGGGCAGCAGCCATGAAGCGACCCCGTCGTGGAGAGTGCGCCGTCAGTGCAATCACAGTCAATGAAGTTGCGTGCTGTTGATCGGCCGCCGTGGATGTCCCATTCACAATTTGACCAAGCCTCCTCTTCGCTTCACCACCACCACCTCCATTCCTTCTCCTCCCTCTCTGATATTATGACGTCTTCTAGGTTGGGGCCGTTGAGTTCATAACTCGTCGTGCCTTCAGCACCACAGCGCGTAAGCTCAGGTCTCATCAAGCTCTGACGACCGAGTAAATGGTGCGGATTCTGTCAGCAGCAGCACTCGCAGCGGCTGTCTGTCACCATACTGTCAAAGCAGGTCAGGGCTGGAGGCCTGCAGCCTCATCAGAGCTCCTCAGCTTTCGTCGTCACATCCTGAAGCTCTCTATACTAAGTCCCACAACTCTCCACCATAACCACAACTTTCTATCCACACACACACACACATATACCCCCCCCCACACACACACACAAGCATATATATATGCATATATATTCACACACACATAATCCTTTTATGGCACACAAAACCTTACTGCTTTAGCAAACAATCATGGTGTGTGAAATTGGTATACATTGATATACTGGCCATGATTTCGTACAGACTGACTTTAGGTGCTAAGATCCAAAGTTGAGACAGAAACAGCCCAGATTTCGGGGCTTAATAGGAGAAGAGGCCAAGGATGAGCATCATGTAGAGGGAGTCAGAGGGTTTGATGGTGAGGCCGTGCAGAGCAGAGCAGAGCAAACTGGGCACATGAGCCTGGACACATATGAAGCTCTCTATTGTGCTGGGCTTGGCCAGGGGCTCTGCCACTCAATTTGGCTGCTACCCATTGTCTTCATGCTCAGGTCTGGTCCCATTGTGATTTAGTGCTCCGTTCTGGTACATATATTCTTCACATGCTTGGCTTAGAATTCTCTGCCCTGCCCTGCCCTGCCCTACCCTGCTCTTGTTGAGCTTGACCCCTACTTCCACAGCCACTATCCTCCCACATTCCCTTCTTATGTGACTTCTTTTCAACACTTTCATTTCTTCATTTTCTGCAATTTATAAGTAGCATTTTGGACTCTGTTTCAATGGGTTTCCTACACTTTCAACGCATCCACATGGTGAAAGAACATGCTATTAGCTTTTAATATTAGGTCATTCACTTTCTTTTAATTTTTCAGGAATATATATATGTATCACTCCGTTTAGAGTGTTTGGCCCACTTTGACAAACTGTGTACAAAGGAGAAGAGTGTAAGGGAAGCTGGGCAATGAATGTGGTGATGATGCCCCATGTGGGAGCAAAACCAGGACAAATCAACATTCTTTGCAATGAATCCGGGGTGGCAGTGGCAGCTCTCACTCCACAGCTATTAATTAAGATGGCAAATTTTGGTGGTGAGCCCATTCTAGGGTTCTGTACCCTCTGAACCTGAAGGGACTCTAGTAGCTGCACTGGATGAATGTCTGGCGCCACTTTCTTGGATGAAGAATGAGTTTATTCGGTAGAAATGGAACTTGTAGTATTCACCCACATTTAGTCTGATTTGCTTTTTTCTTCATGGTATTTCTTTGGTGCTCAGAGTGCCAAATTTATCTTGTTTTGATACTATTCTTTTGATGTATATAAGCTTAGTTAATATAAGGAAGCTTAATTACAAGACAAACACATGAAGAAACCTTCTCATTGGCCAAAATCAACCCAAAATCCTAGAAATTATTAACCAGCCGAAAGACTTCCAGAGAGACCTCCAATTTACTATCTGTAAACAACTTTTCCATGGCCAATGGCACAGGTTTCAACTACAATATATATATGAAGGGTATTGCTAATGTCAATACAATTTTTGCTATTCCCACCACAACTCGCATTCACCTTATGTCACTTTTGTTAAATATTTTTTAAACCAATCAAATTTTCTTTATCCAATACCTTTCAAACTATTTGATTGAACAATTTTTTTGATTGGAAATGAAAAATAAACTAAAAAATTATATCGAATGGGTGGAAAGTTGCGGTAGTAGTAGCAAAAATTGTGGTGACATTGGCAATACCTTATGTATAATCGAGATGCTTGTTCAACACATGTAAGAATATTTTTAGAACATGGTGATAGACTTGTGGACTTTATCATTTGAATATTTATTTTATTCATGAGAATTTTTCTTTGTTCTGGTAAGACTGAATTGAATTGTTGTAGTTGGTTAATATTTATTTGTGTTTTCCTAAAGATTTTATTTTTTTATTTTTTATGTAACTATTGTGTCTTTAGAGGACTGGTTCTCAATGTTATCAATTTATTATACTTGTAATATTCTCTGAATGTTTGCTACAAAACAGGTTATTTTGTATAGGTTTTAATGGGCCAATCAAAAACTGCACATGTATGTTTCACTGCATTTTCCTCCAAAAAAAATTGAAACTACAACTGTCATTCTTAAATTGTACCAAAATTTGTAAGCAAGGTAGTTGCATAATACTGTAGTTTAAAAATTAAGATTCAAAAATATATTTGAAGACTCAATAAGTCAGGTAATAGGTTTAGTTAAGCATGGAGGTGATTATAGTTAAATGATATGTTTTCTGCACATTTTTATCACTCTAATTTTTTAATAACTCTGAAACCCTAAAATATGTAAAATATTCTGGAAATTTATATCCGATTAAAAATTATAGTATATTTAAAATTCATAAACTTGATCTGATGCACGAGTTAAGTTGTTATGCTTTATAGTAGCCAAAATCGATATTGTACTCAAATACCATAGCACCAGTAGTTATGTAGTGAGGAAAAACCCCTGAAAATAGTAATATAATATAACTCTATTATAATTTTTGTGTGTGTAGTTGTGTCTAATATACATTTATAGGAATAAAAAAAATCAAATAAAAATATTAAATGAACATGTATAAATAAGAAAATTAAAGAATATTTATTGAAATATAAAAGAATTATGAAATTTTAGAATTTTCTTTCATTGGATAGAATAAGTCTAACATTTATAAATATACATTTTTTTATAATAAATCAGAAGGAAGTCTTCAAATTTTATTATCTATTATCGTATTATATGTTATAATAATAGAAATAAACTCTACTTATTTATTTTTGTTGAATTTATAATTTATAATTCAAAATTAAAAAAACAAAGAGTTATTTGAATCTTGACATTAATTAAAGAAACCAAAGTAATTTAATTTCTTGGTTTTTATTTTTGATTTGTATTTGCAACAGATTGCTAGAAATAATGAAGTATTATTATTATTGTTATTAAATTTCAATATTTGATATATACATTTAAGTGACATGAATGCAAGATTCTAGTGGGTTTCATACTTAGAAAAAAAATATTAGAAGTCACAACTTTCAGAGCTAACAATTGGTTGAAATTAAAATTTTTACCTAGTTGGCTTAATATTTAGAAAAAATAGAAAAAAGCTCTGAGAAAAAAAAAAAAAAAAAAAAAAAATGAGGTAGATTAATGTTTTTTCCTACATCGCATATATAATATTTTTTGCTTGAATCTGCAACAGACCTATCTCAAAAAGTTGTATTTTTACAGGAATTTAAGAATTTATATTACATATCTATTAAAATTGATTGTCATTGTATTATAACTTTTTAAAATTGAGATATAACTTTTTTATGTTTAGTATTATAATAAAGTTTACTGAATATATTATAGCTTTTTCTTGTCTTCTACTTTTTACAAAAAGGCTAATGATTTAAAAGAGGATTTATTTTCTACCAAGTACAGGAGTTTTGTAAGGATTTTAAATTATAGTTTTTTAAAGTGGGCTTCTGTGTATACAAATCGTCTGATAATAGCCAATTTAGAAGATTAATTAATTAATAAGACTTTAATTTTTCAAGTTAAATAAAAATTATGATAAAAAATTAAAAGTAATATTTAAATTATTTTTAAAAATTAAATATAATAAAAAAATTAAAATTTTAATTAAAACAAAGTTGTATGTATCTACAGTGACAAACAAAACCGAGTACAAAATTTGAACACTCATAGTTCATTGATCCTTCCAACTGACACATAAGTCAATTGATAGAATTACTTTTTTATTGTGTGTATTCATCCAGTCTTCTACATGGATGAAAAATCTCATTATCATTTGAGGTAGGGTTTATGAGAAAAGTGTTGTAGAAGCACACAGACGTGCGTACTCAGTTTTGGTTGCTTCTTCTTGCTGAATTTCGAAATTTTAATGTACACTCCTTGTTGCAAGATTTGAGGGCATTTTTTGTTTGTTGTGTTGCTCTTGTTGTGTACTATCTATAGTGGAAGTTGATTTGTCAATTGTATCTCTATGCCTCGATTGTGTGAATCATTGAAGCACTAAGCATTGGTGCAGCTTAGGAGTGGTGTTTCTACAAGAAAAGTTGCAGACTCACTTGGAATGAGTCAGTCTTCAGTAGCTCATCTGAGGAGGGAGATTAGTGGTGAAATAGAAAAGCAAAGAGGAGGACGTCCAAAGGTTTTAGGAGAGCAAGAGAAGCAACTTGGTGTGCACCTTGTCACTGCTGGTTGTTTCAAAACGGCAAGTGCAGCTGCAAAACAACTTCGAGAAAAAACAGGTAAACACTTCTCAGACATCACCTTGAGGCGTGGTTTGAGAGAAGATGGTATGGGTGCTTGTGTGCAACAAAAGAAGCCTCTACTTGCCAAAAGACATGTTCTTGGAAGGTTGAGTTTTGCTCATAAATACAAAAATTGGACCGTTGATGATTGGAGACGGATTATTTTCAGTGATGAGACAAAGATTAACCTAATCAACTCAGATGGTAGGTCTTGGTGTTGGTTGAGAGAAAGAGAACGACCTGGACCTAAACATGTTAGTCAAACTATCAAACATGGTGGTGGTTCAATTATGATTTGGGGTTGTATGACTGCTTTTGGGCCGGGTGCTTGGTATCAAATTGAAGGTAGAATGGAGCAACACTTGTACAAAAAAAATTTAGAAACCTACTTGCAAAGTACCACACAGAATTACAACTTAGATCCTACTAAGGTGGTTTTTCAATATGATAATGATCCCAAACATACAGCAAAAAGTGTTCAGTTTTGGCTCTCTTCACACCCATTTCAGCTCCTTCGATGGCCAGCTCAATCTCCAGATTTGAATCCAATGGAACATTTTTGGGCCCTTCTCAAACAGCGATTAAGCCAGGTCACTCCAAGGCCAAGAGGTGTTCAAGAATTATGAGAGAATGTTTGTAGTATTTACCCTAGTTTTGATGCAAAAGATTGTGAGAAACTATACAAAAGTATGCCAAGAAGGATTTCAGCTGTTTTGGAAGCAAAAGGTTATTGGACTAAATATTGAAGTTTGAAGATTTTCTTTGAACAATACTGAGTACAAGACATAGTTGTTGATTTGACTTTGTAGAAGGATGTTTAGTTATCAATTTGATGTGCAACTTTGTACATGTGTACAAGACTGTGTGTATTATTCCATGTAACTTTCAGATTT